CACCAAAAGTTTAAAACTAAACCAAATAGCTCGAAACGGTTTTTCAATTTTACTCAAAAATCAACTTTTTGGTCTTACAGCGATAGCTTTTTGCTCTGCTTCTAGCTTGACGATCTAGAGCTCATGTTGCTCAAGCTTAAATTCAAGACTACATAGACAATTTTAGACAAAAATTCATTATACGGGGTTGCAAGCTCTGTCCACTATAAGAATTTAACTTCAACAAAACCTCTCTATTTTAAAAATCAGGTCAACAGAAAAAATGTATCGCTACAGGTTCAAAAAGTTCATTTTCCAAAATCACTCTGCAAATAAGCGAGGGTCGAAAAATTTAAAAGAAATTGCGAAATCGACTTAAACATGGCTTTTCGACGTTTCTCAACAACGATTCACTGGTTAAAGAATTGAAAACTCGATTCAGTGATAAAAACTTGCGTGAGGAATTTCTGGTAGTTTTGCCCCACAAWGCGAAATTTAAAAAAGAGACATTTAGGTACAAGATTAGGCCAAAATTGCATGTTTTTCGTCACGTTTTTGCTCCTTTYCCTGGAAGAAATAGAGCTGGAGCGCTCATTTTTATATACCTGGAGAGAGAACTAAATGGCGCTYTTAGGCAGTGAAGTATTAATTACGATATCTCGSCMGTTTTGTCAAAAAGTCCTGATTTYAAGAAGTTGGCAGTTKTCTCAAAAAAGGCCAAATTTCAAGAAGTTATAGTTTTTCTATMTTAATGCCTGTGGTGTTGAAATCTGTTGAGAAAWTAAACGTTTTTCTGTTCGACTGAGTGCTGAGTTCGAGAAGTGATGTGAAACTTTTCCCAATTTTGCATTGTTGCATTTGCCAYCCTRTAGAAACTTTTTTRGACYTTTAGAGACCYACTAATTTYTTTTGCAAAAAGGCGCKCTAACCGAAGAAGAATTGCACTAAATAACGCTTCAAACAGAAATCAGATCGCTCACCACAATCGCATCTGCACTCTYGAACTATTCGGTGWACAAAATATTTTTTTACCTCATAAATAGGTGAAATAAATGTGTTGATGGTCGTAATTTATTCTCGRATCACCCTGCGTACGTGAATTTACCAAAAAAGCCTGATTTAAACATAACAATTTCGAAATGTTCTGTTTCTAAACTGATGATTCTCAACCGCTGGACTCACAGACMATTTTTTTTGGTTGCAACTCATCGAGTTTTCCRGCAAGTCGGAAACATTGRAGCAAGCGAGTAAAATTTCAGCTTGGGCGGAAGTTAGTTTTTTTTAATTGTCCTAATTGGGGTCGGTTTGCTTGATATTTTCTTCAATTTCCCGTTGACATAATAAAGATACCGGACCCACACTGCTGGGAAAGTCACCACAGGCGACAGCAGTGCTCAAATATTTGCTTTGCCGGCTAAAATATTGTTTTTTAAGGACGACGTTTTAATTTACAAATTGATATTGATCACGCGCCTTTTTATGGGCTTGGTTTTCGGTCATAAATTGCGAGATTAAAATTATTGCCTTGTTTTTTACCCCTGAATGGCTCCCCTAATATTTGTACAGTAGTTCGTTTTGCATCAATCATGTCAGGAATTCGATGGGTGCTGCTTTTTGCCTAATGTGTGGCCAGTGCCAATAAATTCACATAGGTAAATAAATTATGAGGATTTTGTTGTCGATTCTCTATATAGATCCACGTGTCTGCGACTGCGGCTCTGTGACCTAGAGATGATTATCTCTAAGCCAAACCAACTTCTTTGCGAATAGCAATTGTTAACCGCGTTGTTTCCGGTCGACTTGAAGAGTGCGGAGCGCCAAAAGTGATAAATTCTTTAGCTTTTCAACCCTGGAAATTTTTCAACGAACCACTCAACAGACGTTTAAACCACACAGGCTTGGCTATTTTTTAAAATAGTTGATTTGCGTTATCCGTTCGTCCCCTTGAAGTAAAATCCTGTAGGTGTCAAAACACATATAGAGATTACGTGCAGTGCAGTGCACAGTTTAATTGGACGCAGGCCTTTCGGAGGCAGCTAATGTAGTCTGTTCAATGTGCAAATCCCCCCAATTTGAGCGACTCGAAAAAGGGGAAACCCATTTTCGCAGATGCACTTCGTTCCTATCGCGGATAATTTTCGTGTGTAAAAATGCAGGAACTCTACACTTACAGGATGCATTAAGGCGAGCCGACGGCAGGGCCAAACGGGGAGGGTCGCGGAGGAGCGGGCGAGAACGGAAAGGGATCAAAAAATGCGATCAATAGTGCCCCTCTCTACTTCTTAAACCCTCCACAATTGCACTGAAGCGCTGTCAAAACTGCTCTCACCCCTTTTCGGTCGGGCGCTCGAAAAAATGGGCCAACTCCGCTGGCGGGGAGCGTGCGGGGGCAATGGGGAGAAGAGCGGAGTGGAGAATGCACTAATTTGGAGGAGTCCGGAAAGTGTGCTAAGCCATTGTGTGCCGGAAAACTCATATTGCATTTTGGTTAGCTGCATTATCTTTGATGGGCATGGAAAATGGGTCAAGTCATTACTACTATTTTTTTTTGCTTCGGATTGCCAAGAACAAGAGAACGTTTGCAGATTGAGCGCGCCAATAGCTTGAAACGAATGAATGATGGAAACTATGGAAAACACTGCGTAAAAGCTTTAGTCGAACTAATTACCAGCAGACAATGAACGGTGATTTATTGAAAAGGCAAATTATTTTCTCCGGGTGGCAGCAAAATACGAACTTCTTCGAGTTTTGTGCGTGGGCAACAAAATGCAATTGATCTCCGACCTGGACAAATAATTGTCTCACTTTCAGCAAGAAAATTGCCTTTTGTTTTGTTTTGCGCGTTTTTACGCTCATTTTACATCTAAAAGCATTGGAGATGCTCGTTAACTGGGTTTTTACAGCTTCGTTTTTCATTGATATTATCCACTTGGCATAATTTTTGAATTGGCACCTAAAAATTCATGCAACTTTGCTCCAAGCTATTTGGCAGTGACGTCATTTTCATTCTGCATTGCCAGCTTGAGCGTTTGCTCCCGTTCATTTCAACAGATCAACAGGTTTAATGGAAGTTTCAATAAGTATCTATACTTTTCATTTTTCCTAAACTACACATGTGTGATTATTGTCATCAGTATTGCCTCTGAAAATATTAATTCCATTTTTACCAGATGAGTCGACAACATGGTACTTAAGTGATTTGAATAAGTAATAAGTCACTTTCTTCACTTTCGGTATTAGTTTGCCTCAATTGTGCAGTTCTAAGCGTTAAGCTGTGGTCTGTGGTGGTAAACCTGCAGTCAAATAATGACGAAATAGAGGCAAAAATGAGGAACTCACACAAAATCTAAGTGATGGTGTGGAAAATATAAGCAAATTTAATTGAAATCTTGAAACTAATCTCAGAAGCTGCCAAGACACGCCACTAAATCAATTCATAATTTTTGAAGGAAAACATCTCTTAGTAACTTCAGATTTGTAGATAAGTTCTATATTGTTGAGGCGGATTCATTTTTTTACAAACTTCTTTTTGGGTATTTCGCCTCAAAAATTTTGGTCTTTAAAAAAGACAGAATTTCCTCACGTCCTTTATTACAGATTGATAAATAGTGCT